TCTACCTCTACATTATCTACCTCTACAGTCTATGTTTACCCGTAACTCTACATTTGCCACTACCTCTACTTCTATTTGTACGTCTACATCTACCTCTAGTCGTCTGCCTTTGCCTCTTCTCTGCGTCTGAGTGGTAGAGGTACCAGAGGGGCGACCCACCAGGCCCTTCAGAATGTTCAAACTCGTCAGGGTTTTTGGCAATTTAAACTAATCCGACTGTCTCGAATGTCCCACAATTTCTGCTCAGACAATCATGATTCAGACTGGTGGAATATGTTGTGCTTAACTGTGCACTGTGTGACAGGGCTAAAGGCGTCGGGAGAGGGTTAGTGAAACGTTTAGTTTGATGAGAAATTAGACATTGATAGAGAGACGACTTCAGGCATATCTATTGTATGGCTTGTGGTATGTCGTCTCTGATATTGTATGTGTCCTGATATTGTCATTAGCTCCCCGTTCCCTCAGATGAACCTCAAGTGGCGCTTTGAAACCATTCGTCCCTCACTCTCTAGTCCCTCGATTCACACGTTTCCCCTCTACCCCCTCCAGGTGAACCGCCGAGTGGCCCAGCTGACGGGCCTGAACCTGGACACCGCTGAGGAGCTGCAGGTGGTCAACTACGGAATGGGCGGACACTACGAGCCCCACTTCGACTTCGCCAGGGTGAGTGAGTCATGGAGAGTTCAGTACTCTCATTTTGTGGCTAGGATATTTGGGAGCTGTAAGTGTATACATATAGGGTATTCGTTTTTTTTTTATTTTTTTCTAATAGTCCGTTACCCATGATCAGGCAACCAGGAGTGCCCCCACCCTCAGTCCCAGCGACGCACAGAACCCTTACGTTAACACCAAAATCAAAATCAAAGTAGAAAAAGTCGCGGCACTCCCTGCTAAGAAGAGGAAAAAACATAAAAGAAGCAGAATTGACTACGTATGATATTATTTAACTTGGTTAGTAGATACAGAGAGCCATAGTAGTTAATGCCAAATCCAGCATAAACTGTCCGCTAAGGGTTCAATCGCACATCGTTAGTGAGGAACACGCACACACTCACTTGGAAGGGGACATTAGTGGGGTAAATCAGGTCTGGTCTAATTCATGCATATTGTCTTGCCATCCCTCCCGATGCCCTCCAGCTAAGCCGAGCTTGTTGCAAGAGAGTCATCAGGAGAGATGGGGCCTGATATGGTGATTAGTGCGAGCAAACATTTCCATGCCAACACTCTCCCAGTCTCACACTCCTGCGGCCCGCCTGGCCAGGCCAGGGCGGTACCATTCCCCAATGCTGTATTCGCTGTCTTGAAGAATGTAGTCGAGAATTCGTTTTTTTTCGCTAGCATGAGTCGAAGTGGGTTTCAGCAAGGCGTGGGAGAGCTTCATGCTGTTTGCACTCTGACATTTTTTTGTTGTTGTTGAAAAAGTGAGCTCTCGTTGTCTTGGTGATGACGAGTCGCCGGCGACAATAGAGGGAAGGAAGTGATTTGGAGTTTGGTAGGGCGTTTGGTTGGTTTCTTGCTCATGGAAACATGGATAGGGATTACCATGTTTTTGTTGTTACAGAAAGAGGAGACCAACGCTTTCAAGAGCCTGGGAACGGGCAACCGCATAGCTACGTTCATCTTTTATGTAAGTCTGATGATGGCCGTGGTGTCCTTTTTTAGCTTTCTCTTCCCCTTTCGGTGTAGAACGGTTTTTGTCTGTTGAATTATGTGGGGTTTCATTTTTATTTGCTAATTGTTTATTCATAACGTTAACATCAGATTTTCGAAATTTCTGTTTTTCATTTTTACCAGCTTCCACCGCCACACCTCGTACTATTTACATGATTTTGTTGATCCCCGCGATATTCTACTCGTCATTTTTACTAGGACGCTAAGTTCGCGTTCTCCTCCTTCTTCTGGCTTCTTCTGTCATCTCAGTCGCCATTGTTTTCCCCAGTAACTACTACTAGCTCATTTTTCTGCCGCCAGATGTCGGACGTGGAGGCGGGCGGCGCCACTGTGTTCCCGGAGATCGGGGCCGCCGTGTGGCCTCGGAAGGGCTCGGCGGCGTTCTGGTACAACCTGCACCGCTCCGGGGAGGGCGACTACGACACGCGGCACGCCGCCTGTCCCGTGCTCATCGGCAGCAAGTGGGGTGAGTCTGGGGGCTACTCAGGGTTCGGTACTAGGACCACTCTTATTGGCGGCAGGTGGGGTGAGTGTTGGATAGTAACAACTCAAGTGCAGTTGTTCGCAAGAAGCTTTCGTTGTTAGTTTGTAATAATATGCATAAATGATAAAGTACCGATTTAATCACCCAAGTTAAAGGCGTTATACAGTTTTGCTGAAGCCTGAAAGGGCGCACAGGGTTCGGAATTGGGCCCACTCTTGAGTGGAATGTGTATGTTTGCATATAAACCAGCTGAAATTGTCAGGTAATTTATCGGAAATGACGATGCAGTCCAAGATACAATGCGTAGACATTCGATTGAATAGGCATTAAACATCTCAGACATTCTACATTCGATTTGTGCTGTTATAACGAAGGCATCGGACATGTTTCGTCAACAACACTTAATTCATGCCCGTTATACATAGATGCATGAACATGTAAGTATATCAGACAGCGGTGGTGGCTATATGATGAATCCTTAGCTGTGGAGAGTCAACCTCCAGCATGTGTGCCCATTCTTTGATTTTTGTAGATGATATAGTGCACCATTCCGTGTCCCTCGGTGTCGGGTCTGTGTTATGATTCGGGAGATCTCTGGTGTATGATTCTACCCTCATTGAATAATACCTGTCTGATTTCGGAAAATTCCGACGATCTTTGGGTACCCGGAGGAGCCTTACTATCTGACACACGTGCGATACCCCGCTTTAGAGCTTAGCGACGCTGGCAAACATTTTCATGGAGCTTCCGAGGCCTCTGAGGAGGTCGCCAATTAACTCTCGATGAACAACGCGGGGCCCAAGACCGAACCCTGCACAACACCGCTTATGACGCTTGTGGTAATGGTTCTATCTAAAAATAAGGTCCTGCATGGCATCATTTCTTTGTTTCATCCCTATATGGACACACGGATCACGCTTTGCGACATTGTTTTTCAACGGGACTTCCTTTTTTTAATCAAAATAGTGTGTGTGGTGGCGAAATGTCCGGCTTTTCCGTTTGCTGCTTTTGCTTTCTTGTTTATTTTTGACCGCATGCCTTTCAGAACATGTATTGTACAGATGAACAGCAGCAAGTATAAGGAACTGATTGCTTTTCTTTCTTTCGCCCGGCAGTATCCAACAAGTGGATCCACGAAATTGGCCAGGAGTTTGCTCGTCCGTGCGGCCTAACGCCCGACGAGTGATTGGGGGCGACATCTGGCTATCACTAGTTCAGAGCATATCGCCAGGTGTCACTGTCGGCTGTCCGGGGTTTGTATGGCCGGACAGCCTGCGCCATACTGAAAAATCAACAGCCCGGCTAAGATGATAGGAAGAGTTTGATGATTTATTTTGACATAGTGCTGGCGGCCTAACTCAAAGCATATTTGACATTGCATTTGCCTATTTGTAGCAGAATGTAGAGCTGCGTGAAAAATCACGCACAAAAATCACTTACGCTCGTGTTATTTTCGTCAGGGGCCCTTAACTCGAACTTTGTAATTTGTGAGGCATAACTTTTGACAATTATATGTCCGCCGACATAGGCTTAGAAGGCCTTTGCGCCGCTTTAGGAACCCTGTCACTGGTTTTAGGCCTTTGTGTCAGTATATTATGCGCTAGCGGCGGGAAGTGACGAGATTTGTATCTGCGATATGTTTGTGAACGACCTTTGAGGTGGTTCAGCAGGGAATACTTCACTGTAGGGGAATGTGGATTCTTTGATCCAGGATTGTTTTGATACTAGTCGATTCGTAAAGAGATGGCCATCATTCGTTTGACTCTCTGCTGATAACTGTAGCGTTTCTTCTTAAACAGTTAGTACCGCGAAATACGGTGCGAAGCTTGCCCGAATGACGCCATACGAACTACTTTTAACTCGCTTCTGTTTTACTGGTTTGCGTGTTGAGTTATCTTTCTGTATTTGTCACAGAATACCCCATAGCCAGTAGCCACTTAGGTTGTAAATATAGCCTTCGATTGTGAGCTGCTTAACTTTGCTTTTACTCACTTCAGTTGGCATTTCTTTTCCTAAAATATTCGTTTGACGGGATTCTCTAATGTGTTTTCAGACGCTCTTTTGAGTGCACTTTTCCAATTAGCCCTTACATTTCATAGCAATAATGGATATTGCCTTTTTTATCATCCTTCTACTTAAACCGATTTCTTTCTATTGTAAGCGGAGTGATTCTCATTAAAAACAATGGTTACCATTAGCCGCCATCATTGTCGTAACATTTGTGACGTCACAAATCTGAAAGTGACGTTATGACATCGTGTAAATGTTTTAGGGATGTGTGACAGGAAAAGATAAATCTTGGACAGATGGTATTGTGTTGGCTCGATCATTGCTTATGTTATTCTTCGTTTGCGAAATGCAAAAGTGTAATGATTTGCTTCTGTATTTGATAACCGTTTTGGGTGATTTCCGCCCTTTCGTTGGCGATTTCTATTTTGTGTTGGGGTATTATGTTCGTATTTCCGGCTGGTATTTTGCGCCTATGTTATGTGCTGGCTGTTTTAAATAGGTAGCGCTCTCTGTATTGGGTTTTGCTGTGTGCTTCTCTGAGCTTGAATTTCGTGTTTGCCGAGCTGTGGAATTGTGCGCAATAAAGAGTCGAAACGGTGAGTTTGTTTGCGGTTTTCAAACAGACTGACCAATGCTGAGGGTTAACGGATTGGGTGAACCGTTAATAAAGCGCGCAGAAGTTTGCAGTTGAATGTATATTGCGATGTGAGCCTGAAGTGTCCGAAGTTTCTGTCGCTGACAGTTGTCTTCAATCGAATCGTTATCGACGTTATTCTTCAGTCTTCATATAACTTCCGGTTCGTAAAGTCATACTCATCTTACCGATAAAAACGGCCACACAAAAAGCGATATATTTGACAAGCGTCACTACTGCAATAAAAACACGAATAAAACGGGTACCGCAAGGATTCATAATGCACAATGCTACCAAACGACCGGCACCGAACGGGCAAAACTCCATCAAAACACGCTAACATAAGGTCACACACAAACATAAACACACAAACACTCTAGATGCATTCGGGTTGTTGGATTGTGCACTGGGACAACAATGCTGAAAGTTACTGGTAGTTTATCATATACGCCCTTCCGTGTATAAAAATTCCCTGGCGCTGAAAACGATTTCAGACGAGTGTTTCCAAACGCCCAGTGTGCACAGACCAAAACAGTCTCCAAATGGACAGTCTTAAAAAGAACAAATCACAAGAACACACTTGGCAAGCTGACCTCATCTCTCTATACGTTTAGAGAAGTGCAAGCTCGCATCAAATTCGCCTACTCTCTTGAGACTCCAAATCCTCCATCCGAACTCAAGAACCTCAGTCTCTCTGAGTCTCTCTCAGCTCAACTTCTCTTTCATGTTCATCGACCCTCGCGAGTCAGATCAGTGTGACAAGATCTCGTGACTTCCTTCGGCCAGCACCTCTTCAGCGGAGTCATCAGACGTTCCGCTACTGCTTCTGCATTTTGATGACATAGCCGCCCATGAGGCCGGCGTAGATGCTGCCGTCATCTCCAACAGTCAGAGACTGTACCGAGCTGCTGACCTGCGGGTCAGGGTCAGGAGGGAGGTCAAAGTCACGTCAACGTCAGGACAGAGTTGCATCGATAGCTCTAAAACATGAAGCGAACTCAACTCATTCGCACCAACTGTAACATCAACTCCGATAGCCATCAATGCAAGCATCGACTCACTCGCCTTCTCAATTCTCATACATGAAATCATGCATCAGCTTCGACATTAACCTGACTCTGACGTTATTTCTGACCTTAACTGGCCTCAACTCAGATCTCAGCTCAGATAGCCTTCAACACAGACATTGATCCATTTTCATACGTTCTCAGACAAACTCAGACCTTATCTCCCAGCTCCGACATCAACTTCGACATTAACTCCGACCCTAACTCCGACCCTAACTCCGACCCTAACTCCGTCATCACTCGAACTCACGGTGGTTCCGCTGGCGATCAGCTTTTTCGACGGCACGTCCCAGATCTTCACTGTGTTGTCGTACCCGCCCGTGTAGAGCAGGGTGCCCCGGGCCTCCATCGCTGTGATGATCTTGTGGTGGCCCTGTGGGCGGTGTTTAGAGGGGATGTTTTAGTCCACGCGTCAAAACTGATGCGTGTAATGATGCAATGCGTGATGCGTGCAAGTGTAAACTGTGAGGGTTGTGAGGGGTTTTACGGGCTGGCGATTAGGGTATTTTGATGGGTTATTTTGTTGCTTAGCGCAACTTCATGCATTTTTGAATGAAATGTACAGTCCACAGCAGAAGTAATGTGCGGTTTCAGTCATGAGTATTTTCTGCTTCTGAAGCTTAGGAACGATTAGCCAGACTACAATGAAACTTTGAATGTAGCTTACATGTATCGTCACCTTTGCAGCTGCAACTTTATCTATTGACGTTTTCCTTTCGATCACTCCGCATTAACCCTCGCCCGTAAACGGCGATCTGCCACCTTCGCCCATGCAGGGGGGGGGGGGTTGGTGCGACCCCCCCCTTGGCGTTTGAAAACGGAGCGTCGTAGAGCTTAGCGGAAAAGACCAACGGATTGCTCTCGCCGAGATCTCGCGATTGGTGGTATATTTTTTGGTCCTAGGTCAACATTTGACCTACTTTTGACCGGTCAAAGGTCAAATTTTTCGGAAAAATAGACTTTTTCAACTTTCCGCGGCGATTGCGGCAAAACGGTGGGAGATATCGACTTGAAACCTTCAGTATCGTGTTCCTTGATCAATTCTCTATCGTTTGGTATGTATTTCGTTTCCCTAGCTCTAAAAATGGCGCGTTGGGAGCGCCGGAAGTCGGCAAGGTCACAGTCGGCGGCAGAAATTCGAAAAATCAAAATTTAAATTTTTGAAATATGATTGTAATTTTGGATTTGGGAGGTCCATTTGCTCCCTATAGAAGCTAATATTGCTGCATATTCCCATCGAGGTGACAAGAATTAGCAAAATAGTGGTTCGGGCGCTTTTCAAAAATAGTACCGGACGCTGTTCCTCTTGTGACGTCATAGCTCCGTGACCTGACCTGACCCGGTCAAGTTTCTTATATCATATGATAGCCAATACTTGCCCCAACATGCATGGGAAGTTTCATCACGATCCATCAACCAATGTCCGTACCACCGGCAGGAAACCTCGGGCGTTGGCACTCAGTTTGTGAAAATCCGGCCGGAGGCTGTTCCCTTTGTGACGTCATAACTCCGTGACCTGACATGACCCCGTCAATTTTTTTTTATCAAAAGATGCGCAAGGCTTGCCCCATAAGGTACCCAAAATTTGGCGGCGCTGCGCGCCGCCGTTTTTGCACTATTTCCGAAAAACCTCAGGGGGGGTTGCACCAACCCCCCCCCCTACATGGGCGAGGGTTAAAAAATCGCCAGTCAAAGCCATCCATTAAGATTGGTAAAACCGCACATTACTTTAGTGGTGGGCTGTACGTTTAACAATGTGAAACATGATGTTTGAGAATGAATACTTTTTTGTGAATTAAACGATACAAATGTGAGACGTAAACGACATAATTGTTTGTCTCAATATGTGAGACAGATAAGACTATACCGATCATTGATGTTGCGAATGCTTATAAAACGTCTTTGTATTAGTTGCAACGGTGTGACTAGGTATATACTCGTACGTGCCCTGTCTATCTTTACATCGTAGCATGTCAATAAAACAAACAACTGGCACAGGCCACAGCTCAAACACCTAAAACGAGACGAAAGAATTGTTGTGTTTCAACATCATGCTTCTATGGCGTTTCATAACTAAAGTGTACAGTTTCTTCATTTAGGTGATAAGAGCCTGTGAAACAGCGTTACCTAAAAGCGCTAATTTCTTGATACATTGGAACTACCACTTCTGGATTTATGTATCCAAAGCAATTGAACGTTGCTTGGGGTTGTCTGACTTCAGAACCTGGCTATATATTTACATCCGTTCATATGGAGTGTTGTTGAAGCGAACGGTCAAATACTGGGCAAGCAACCGAATGGCGAGTCCGTATGACACTATGACACTAATCTATTGATAACTACAAATATATATATATATATATATATATATATATATATATATATATATATATATATATATATATATATATATATATATATATATATATATATATATATATATATATATATATATATATATTCTTTGAGGCAAGTTTGGTTGAATACGATCGCGTATTCAACCTCAAGCTACGTATTCAATCCTCAAGCTACGTTATTATCGACAAAACAGAGTATCTTCAAAAAATCGAAGATATCTTGACAGACAAGTCTAAGTTCAAGAAAATCAAGAAAGACCCTACGAATGAATTGAAAAAGAAGGCAAATCAAGTAATCGAAGCCGCAAATGCAGTCGTAGACGGGGAAAAGTTTCAACCGATTGTGGGAGATTTCGCACCAGGATATCTATACGGAACGGTAAAGACACACAAAAACAACAACCCACTGCGACCTGTCATCTCACAAATACCGACACCAACCTATCAGCTAGCCAAACGTCTGAACTCTCTACTTACCCCATACATTCCGGTCCAGAACACGCTGAAGTCGAGCGAAGAATTCCTGGAAATTATCCAATCGAGTCAACCAGCCGGGATTCTAGCATCTCTGGACGTGGAGAGTTTATTCACGAACGTGCCCATCAATGAAGCCATCGACATCATCACGGAGTATGCTTTTAGCCATGATAGTCTACCACCACCCAGGGGCCTATCACCCGAGCTTCTCAAGAAAATGCTGCGCATTTGCACCATGGAAGCCCCCTTCAGATGCCCATCAGGGAACCTGTATCGTCAGATCGACGGCGTTGCAATGGGGTCCCCACTTGGGGTGCTCTTTGCAAACGCATACATGTGTGCGGTGGAGGACAAGGTGCTCTCCAAGCTGGACAACAAGCCTGCTTTCTACAAGCGCTACGTTGACGATGTGTGCCTACAGGTTGAAGACGCTGAAGCTCTAGAAGTTGTGAAGAAAACATTCGAAGACAACTCCGTCCTCAAGTTCACGTACGAGATTGAAGAAAGAAGCAGACTCCACTTCCTTGACGTTGACGTGGACACAGCACAAGGAGGCAAGTTTGTCACGCAAGTGTACAGGAAGCCAACTGACATCGGCCGTTGCATGAACGCTCGCAGCGCGTGCCCCAAACGCTACAAGACTGGCATGATACGCACATACGTGCGCAGAGCCATGACACACTGTAGCACATGGGAGCTAGTGCAACAAGAGCTTCAACATGTCAAGCAAATGTTAGTAAACAACGGCTACTCCTGTACAGACATTGATGCCGAAGTCAAATCAACACTGGACAAATACCAAGCGAGACAGTCACACACCAACGGCAGAGAAATGACAGGTGAAGACCAGCCCAAACCCAAGTCTCAAGTTCACAAGCTGTTCTACATGAACCAGATGAATGAGGCCTACCTGAGTGACGAGAAGGTGTTGAAGAGCATTTTGAAGAAAAATGTGATTCCAAAGGAAGGGCATGAAGTCAAACTGATCGTATACTACAAGAGCCCCAAAACATCCAATTTGGTGATCTGTAACCGCCCCAAAAGAAGCTGCCTGCAAGAGACGCATGTTGTCTACAAATACAATTGTCAAAAAGGAGATTGCAAGCTCCGAGACACATCCTCTTACATAGGCAGTACAACGATGACCCTGTCCCGCCGACTCTCATACCATCTGTCTGCGGGTGGTCCAGCTGAACACTCCCAGCGTGCCCACGGTGAGCGCATCACAAGACAGGACATGGTGGACAACACAAGCATCTTGGACAGGGAGAATAACATGTGGAAGCTGAGGATCCTCGAGGCCGCCTACATCCTAGAACACTGCCCGTCCATGTGTGATCAGCGCGAACACAGGGGACGGATCACGCTGACAGGATAGGAGGTGATGGTGAAGTGTGTGTGTGTGTGTGTGTGTGGGGAGGGGACTGTTCAGTGTATAGTGAACGAGACATTTCGTTCATTCTGATACGTTAGTATCTGCTAGATCGGTGGTAGTAGATGGAGATGTTGCATGATGGAAGCAGCACGTTTGAATTTTCGAACTAGATTCGAACAACCGTGCACTGAATTTTGACAGGTCACATCGCATTTGTTTTAAGGTCAACAAAAATGTATGAAGTAACTTAGATATAATGTAAGTGTTAAATGTGATGAGAGTGTAAAGTGTAAATGCCTGATGACGAAGTGAGTACTTCGAAACGCGTCGCAAAACGTAAATCAATATAATGCATGTATGAACATTGGAGATACTTTACACCAGCTGCCAGAAACTGACCGGAAAGTGATAAGAAAGAAAGAAAAGCTTCAAAAGAAAGTGATAAAAAACAAATACGCGATCGTATTCAACCAAACTTGCCTCAAAGAAGATATATTGCCTGCTTATACACATATATATATATATATTGCTTGCTACAAGCAAACTATGGTCACGCAGCTAACCTAAATGTTTCGCAGCATTACTTTTTGGCGTACGATCATGAAGCGCAAGCCTTTGATCACTGTATTACTCACCTGTCCTTTTTCAGCCTATGACAAAAGGAAAACATTTCGCGTGTTAACAATAAACCGGCTACCATTTATAACCACACACACATCATGCGACATATGTAGATGAAGCTAGATTATCATACAAAGAATCGACATAGCATATCCGAAATAATTAGGCGTCATTGGCAAATAATTAGACCTGAGATAACATTGAATACCTACGGGCCTGGTTCTGTAGCGTTCAGCACTAAATCACCTAAGGATAAAAACATGACGTTATCAAGAGTCCATACTGCATGCGTTAACTACAGAGATCCAGAAAATCTATCGAAGATACCTAACTAGATTTAGATATCTTACGAAACAATGCGAAAGACATAAAAAATATGCAGCCAACGGACATTCTAGTGAGCAGCAGTTTGTCTATTCCTTTCTACCAAAATAACAGCCAGTGAGAAAACTGAACTCTAGGCTTCTAGCCATGAGGTAATATTCATTACTAATCAATACATGCCTTTTCTAGGTTCTGCGACACCTGAGCGAATGTCATTTCAGCGAACGACATTTGAGCGAAACATTTTCAGCGATTGGCTTTTTCAGCGATTGTCAAGTCGGCGAATTCAGTCACAGCGATTATCAACTTAAGCGAGGACCAGAATCAGCGAAACCAGATTGAGCGAATACATGGTGGTCAGTGGGGGACCAATTGAGCGATGCAGTTACAGCGAATGACCGAACGCGACGAAAGTCAATCATTTGCTACTTTTCGGAAATTATTGCACCTCTTTACGCATCATTTAACTTTTGAAGACACATATGTACATCGGACGACCAACAAGGGGTGCATGGGAGGGGAAGGAGGCGGGCAAAATTTAAATTGACAATGCGGAACATGAGAGATAGGGCGACGGAAGGAATGCCAAGGACCAATAATAAACTAGAGAGATGGCACAGGGGAATCCAGTCTATGTTTCAGGGACCTCACCCAAATATCTGGACATTCGTACGGTGCTTGGGGCAAGAACAAATTTTACAACATGGGGAACTGATCCAAATTCAAGCGGGGCAATTTCGCGAAAAAAGCAAAAGCAATATTGATCTCTGAACAAACGTTTGGTCACCATTATTGACAAAGAGCAGGGTGGGGTGGGGGGTGGGGGTGAAATTGAACTGTTGGAATTTTTGACAAATGTAGCATTAAATTTGGAGCGCAATGTCTGACCTTTAAACGCGCGACATCCGCCATCCAGTTCCGGATAACCATGAGAAATTCCGGAAACGGATACGCTCGCAAAAGAAAAAAGTCCACTGTTACAGGACGGTGAAATGTTTCGCTGAACTGACAGTCGCTCAAATTGTAGTCGACGAAATAGATGTCACTGAAACTTAGCTTTCGCTAAAATTGATAATCGCTTTATTTGATAATCGATGAACTTGATAATCGCTGAATTGCCATTCGCTGAAAATGGTTCGCTCAAATGACGTTCGCTCAAATGACACTCGCTAAAGTCGCTCGCACCGCCTTTTCTATAAAAACCTACATTGTCCCACAAGCACTTTATGGAGTCGACTTTCAATCCTTCCTGTTAGACTATCACTAACCCATGTCGCTAAACATGTCACAAATTTCAGGGCCAACTAGATGGGCTTTTCCGTCTAAATCCCGTGCTACCTAAAGGTTAAGCTACTTATTCCCACCTCCTCTTTTTCCCGTACCATCTTTCCTTTTTCCCAAAAATTCCCCGTCCTATTTTCTGCTCCCTCACTCCCACCATTTACTTTCCTGGCATGCTACTTATTCACCCCCTCCCTCCCTCCCCTCACTCCCCTCCCTCCCCAATTTTCACCTGCAGTTCGCCCTGTTCAGCGTGTCCCTTCTCGGTCGACCTCAGTTTGATGGTCATCCCGGGCCGGTTGCAGTAGCAGATGGTGTTACCGACCAGAGCCAGCGGAGGGCGGCCCTCGAATGACGTCAGAATGACGAACTTGGTGTCCCCGTCCACATTCTCCTCTGTGGAAAATTAAAATTAAAAATTATTTAGAAAAATAGATTAGTCATGCGGTCTACAATTGTTCTGTAAGGGAAAGAAATAAAAATCAATAGAGAATAAATGATTGGTCATATGGTCTATAATAGGTCTGATTCTTTTTTTTTGGGGGGGGGGGCGGGTTAAGGTTACTCGGTGATTAATGAGACTCGAGGCACTTGGTGCGATGTGGAGGTAGAATTGCAACGCCACAATGTATTGCAATGAAGTGAAGAAACCGCGATGCACTCACGACCGATGATGTGGTATTATAATGAAGGGAGAGAGGAGAAAAGACATAAATATAAAGCCAGATAGAGAGTGAGAGAAAGAGAGGGGGAGAGACAGGCAGGGAGACAGACAGACAGACAGTCAGTAAGTCAGACAGACAGACAGACAGACAGACAGACAGACATAGACAGAGTACTTTGTGAATGACCTCTCCTTGAAATTGTATGTAGGATATATTTTGGTATATCCTACATACAAGAAGACATAGACAGAGGAAGAGACAGAAACAGAGAGACGTGTCCTGCTCCCCACACCCAAACCCGACCTCGATTCAAAACGCACCCGTCATGACTCACACCGAACCCCATTCCTGCCCAGCTCCCTGTTCAGTGTTTATAACCGCCCCAAACTCTGCCCACCTCGACACGATAGCCTGTTGCGATTTTTGGCCCGGTCTCCGGTGTTTAGGTGGTGGGAACACTATCGCACGTCCACCCCTCGGCACTATTTCTAGGCGGAACTATTTTGGTCGGGACCGGCCGCCCGACGAGCGGACGGCGGGGCGGCGGTCGGAGGAGCTGAAGGGTTAGACCGGGCCGATCAGAACAGAAAGGGCTGTAACGGAAAAGGCTATCGCATCTCTAATGTATGCAATGTAGCATTAAGATTCACGAATTGTATCAGACATTATCCATTAAATTTTACCTGCAACCTTTCCTCGTACACAATCGTAAGCGGGCTTAACTTTCACGTCCATTGAAGAATAAAGTTCAGTAGCTTGAATGAAGCCAATTACGAAATCTACTCGCCACTTTAAAGTAGTGTCAATACAGCATACGTTTGTCGAATGTTTCTACCGACTATATTTCGGGCGGCACTGCCCGGACTCCACCCTTCTGAACGGGTGAAGGTTGTTGTCGGACAGAGATGTATCGCAGCGGTCCGAGGCTCGCTCGGCATGCGCCATCGATATGGGACCCGACGGCCGGCCAAGACGGAGAGGGTAGGAATCCGTCTGCACGGGAGGAGGGATCGGGAGAGAGGATTGGAGGAGGGAGGGAGAGAGAGAGAGAGAGAGAGAGAGAGAGAGAGAGAGAGAGAGAGAGAGAGAGAGAGAGAGAGAGAGAGAGAGAGAGAGAGAGAGAGAGAGGAGAGGGCTGGCGACACTGATCGGTCAGCTTAGGGGCTGAATCACTCTCCTACCGTTTTAGTTTTAAGCCGTTAATTGCTTTTGTCGAGATGCTTCGAATGCCAAAATGAAAGTACTATACGATGTACGATACGAAAGTACGATAACGCAATACATAAACAAAAAAAAAAAGGTGTGGTATACATTTTTATGCGTGCGGTCTCTCCCAACGATCATTACAACACCAACATCACTACAATTTTCCACCACCCATCCTGTCACCTCTATAATAGAGGACAGATGCACACACCCTTTCCCCACCAACAGTGCAGACGATAGACCGACCGGTCAGATCCCGGGGCAGCTGTACGGAGTCAGACTTCACACAGATATCAACAGGTGAGGCACAGGCTTGCAGAGGTCGGTCAGAGTCAAGGCCACAGACTTTGAGGGTAGTGATTGACGTGGAGAGGGTATGGGGCCGTGGTCCAATATAGAGGTTCGCTTTTTCGTTATGCACTTGACGGTGAAAATAAGGAAGTGAGTTAAATGACGGCTCTCCATATCCCAATCCTTTCTGTATTAACAATGTCCCGCTCCCTTTCGGGTGGGTCAACTAGTCCCTGGACCCTGAAGATGTTACGGATGCCAGACGGGAAGATTTTAATCAGCAAAATTCTGGTCGATTTGAAGAGCGCTCAACGCTGCGTTCGTTTGTTACCAATGGCACGAGGATTGTAAAGGATGCGAAAAGTTGGTGAGTTGCCACTTCACTGGCAACCCTCCAAATGACTGACCTTGGCACCCGTCACAGGGGAGCCGCAATAAATGGTGTGGCGACTTAGAGTAAACAACACCACGACGCTAGCAAGGGAGCTTGACTCCAAATCAGCACCTGTGGGCTGCGAGTGATGATGAGAAACAATCTGGAGCATAGGTGTTAGAGATGTCAATCGGATAACAACTTTTTGGTATACCGATACACCAAGCCGATACCAACTTGGTATTTGGTATTTCAGTCTTAACCCTATTAGTGGCAGGGGGGTTGTTTTCATCCACCCCTCAGGTTTTTCGGGAATATCTCCGAAACCGCTGAAGCTACGATGCTGAAATTTTCTGACTTTTCCTAAAACTAAATTGGGCACATTCCCTGAAAATTTCAAGTTCATAACTTTACCAGGGGAGGCTCCAGAGCACTGGGAATTGGGGGGTCCTATTCGTGAAGCGAGTCATTTGGGCGAAGATCACGATGCTGCACCAGTTTTACGAACAGTGAATGAAAGGTATCATGTGATAACATATACAGTTATTGTGCATCCTCTTTTGACACGTTTTTGCTATAATAGGCGGATCCAGGCGTCCAAAAAGGGGGGTTATGTCTTACCTCCCAAAATAGGTGCCCCGACACCGCCTATGCATGACCAATACAATTGTAGTCGTTCTCTCATTAGAAAATTGTAACATAACAAGACCATTACCACCCTTTTTAGAAATAGTACCAACAAAAACCTTATTTACTATACCTACTTTTTGTGTACCCCCAATCTCAATGATCTGTATCCGCCTATGATTTTTGAAAATGCATATTTTTAGGATCCATGTGAATTCCTGGTTCATTCTCTATCGATCGGCAAAAGTTGCGTTATGATTGGTTCAGAAACCTGGCCGTGATAAACAGTCTAAAATGTATCTGCAATTTGCCCGGTTTTACCCCCGTCTACCCCCTATTGATATTTTTTAATTTTAATTTTTTAGAAATGTAGATCACGTTGAGCGAAATCGAATGCCGTTTGAATTTTGAAAATCGGCCCGTTAGATCTCGAGATATCAAGGGGGGTCGTAAACAGCCCCCCTGCCACTAATAGGGGTAGCCAGGAGCCTGCCACTAATAGGGTTAATGTGCTTGGTATTTTGTTTGTACTACGAACACTCACTAATGTATAAAAGGCTATGAAATTGGTAAGAAGTTGGTATTTCCCTCATGCTTCAAAGTTGGTTCGGTTTCGGTATTTCCCCACGGTTTTGGTTAGTATTTGCTTTGGTATCGGTATTCCGATTTTCTGTAATTGACATCATTACTAGGTGTCCCTGTGAATAACATTTGACGTCTGGCTCTGTAACGACCGATGGCATTTGATATGATTAATAACGTATGTTGATAAGGGAATGTTTGTTTATCGACCTTAAAGATAACGCATGTTGTGAAAAGTGTGTTGCGAAAATTACCGTTAAAACGTCTAATGACAACACCGGAGTTTTGTCACGGAACTCTGACCTTCCCTTCTCTCACTCACGGAATTTGATCTCGGATCATTTGACGCGCCCTCTTCACTCAAGGAATTTGCTCTTGGAGCAGGTGCCCACCCTTCCTCCAAGTCACGGAATTCTGACCTCCCCCTCTCCCACTCACGGAATTTGATCTCGGAGCAGGTGATCTCTCTCTCTCTCTCTCTCTCTCTCTCTCTCTCTCTCTCTCTCTCTCTCTCTCTCTCTCTCTCTCTCTCTCTCTCTCTCTCTCTCTCTCTCTCTCTCTCTCTCTCTCTCTCTCTCTCTCTCTCTCTCTCTCTCTCTCTCTCTCTCTCTCTCTCTCTCTCTCTCTCTCTCTCTCTCACTCTTTCTTTCTTTCTCTCACTCACGAAATTTGATTTCGGAGCAGGTGATGTCCTTGTCCCGGACGGTGAAGCAGATGTCTCCGGCGACGGCGATGTCCCAGACCTCCTCCACACAGCTCAGTGTGAACTGGCTCGTCAGCTCCCTACTCCAGATCTTCACCTGTGGACCATTTCGGGGGAGAAAGATAGAATTGTGCGCTAGAAAACTCGTCGTATTGCATAGGGCGGGTTCGGTTAAAGTGCTCGGACGCTGTTGTCTCGTTTTAAATTCAATGCCTGTTTTCCCTATTCGAATATTGGAAACGGTTTCCATTTCTCAGTATGCTTTCCTTGATAGCAAATTTCACAAAAAAAGAAATCAGGAATTGATACAAGCATATTAGCAACTATTTTAAGACAGGAATTTACCAGAGTTATCAATCACCTTGACCACTCTGGTTTAGAAACCACTCCACCTATGTTATTCTCGGAAAATTGCATCTGATGTTTAGAATGATCATGAATTAGGTATATCGCTCTCGTTTTTTGCTAATTCGCCAGCCGGTCGCACCTTTCCGTTCATGTCCCCCGAGTAGAGCCGGTCGGCGGTGGGTAGCAACATAGGTAGCTATCTGTGATTAACTCACTCCAGTCACTCCACTCCAGCCTTTAGTCCCATAGCCCTCATGACTATGTCTAATAGATGCAATAGGGTCTCAACCCTCAATAATACCGCACCTTTCCGTTCATATCTCCCGAGTAGAGTTTGTCGGCGGTGGGCAGCAGTCGGTGACCTACCTACTCAGCCCATCTTCTCCCCCTCATTGTCTCATAGCCCTGATACAAAAGGGTCTCAACCCTCAATAATACCTCACCTTTCCGTTCATGTCCCCCGAGTAGAGTCGGTCGGCGGTGGGCAGCAGTTTCCGGATTTCGTTGTCGTGGCCGGTCAGGGTGTTTTTCAGCTCCAGCGTGTCGGCGCTCCACACCTTGATCAGACCGTCGTTACCTGGGCGAGAAATTATGGGGTAAAATTGACGAATGGGTCAAGGTAAAATTTCAAGGCTATAGGTTAAATTGCCGGGTAAATAGAGGTGAGCGTCTGGTAAAAAAAGTTTAAAATGGTAATCAACTGAGACCTCATTCATGGGATGAACAAATCGGGTAAATTATCAAAAAGGGCTTGTTACTTATTCTTTCATTCGAAATTTCGATACGGTTTTGCTGATCATCGATGGCATTTGTATCGCAAAAACGTAGGTTATCTTAGAAAAGATCGGACTGAATCATTTAAAGTTACTGTGGTTTATCGTATCAAATATGGTGACGTCATGGGACTGTTTATGCTCCCCATGTATGCATCACCACGCGTCCTTACCGGTAGTGACCAGGTCGCCATTGAAGATGCACATTGAGTTGACGGTGTTGAACTGAGCCTGAAGTTCCTTGTGGACGGTTAAATCCTGGTTGTAGATCTGGAACGAAATTAAATGTCACATGTCAGTAATCATCTTGGGGGACTGACAGTAAGTGCAGCAAACTGTTACGAAATGCGAATCGAAGAAAGTAAGTCTTAAATTGCGATTCACTAGGCCGCAAAACATCGATGGAGGCAAATTGTAATGCACGATAAATAATTATCCAACTGTTGTATATCTTGATGTCCCTCATCTGCATGAGACTAGGAATCACAAGCCCAATGACGATATCAACTCGCAACATCTTTATATTGGGTTTGAGCATTGACCTGTTTTTAGGCATTCGTCATTTAAATACATATTTTGTTGGTTAAGCATTTTACATCCACAATAATTTCGCTGCCAAACTTGTCATTCATTTTCCTTGAATCTTGGGAGAGTCGCATACAGTCCACGCTTAACTCCGCCGTTCCTTCACCATTCATCACTCTTGTATGTCCGGTATTTCTGCGCTGATCTCAACATACGAGCAGCACCCTCAATACCCTGCCGACAGTAATCACGCAGTGCGCATGCGCGGACAGGCGACAGGCTATTTCCGGGCCAGTTTGTCGGTCAGTTCCGGGTTCGACAAACCCAGGGCAAACAGGGGGGAGAGAGAGAGAGAGAGAGAGAGAGAGAGAGAGAGAGAGAGAGAGAGAGAGAGAGAGAGAGAGAGAGAGAGAGAGAGAGAGAGAGAGAGAGAGAGAGAGAGAGAGAAACGCCCTCAAAATAGCCTGATGCGATCTGGTCACGGGACGTTTGTATGGTGTGTTTGGTGCAATGTGTAGGTAAACTCTAGAAATTGACGATGTGCTGCGGTGTGTTATGGACGGCGGGGAAGGGAAGTAATGTCGTCGAAGAGAGGACAGGTCGGTTTTGTCGAGCTTTTTGTCCATTCTTAATGAGCGATTTAACGCTTGGAAAGGTGTCAACGTCAGATAGCTGGATTCAGACCAAGGGATTGTTTTGAATCGGCTTGTTATGAAATGAGTAGTGCGTGAAATTATTTCACGTGCGTGAGGGAGAAAACTAATCGCGCGTGAATTCATTTTTTTTCATGAAAATCAAACTTTAAGTCACTAATGGACCGCACATTACGTTTAACCCACTAAACGCTTGGACTTGGAATATTTGCCCGCAAAAAAAAAAAAACATTTAGGATATTTCTTTCAGTTTCAGGTCCCATTATATATTTTTTTACATTTTTAACAGATGCATTGAGTCGATATCATTGAAACAAGGCAAAAATTGTTTAGCGCTAAGATTTCTTCTTTCAAAAGCTTAGCTGAGGAAAGGTTAAAAAAAGTAGCGGCGGAAAACCTTCAATTAAGGGGGGGGGGGCACTGCCGACTTTAGGTCCCATTCTTTCCATGCAACGCCCATAGGGCTAATGTTAAAATATCCAAATCAAAGGGGGCGCGGTGCCCCGGTGCCCTCCCCGTTCCGCCGCCTATATGACTCCAAAACCTATAGTGAAATGAAAAGAAAAAATTGCATCTTTTTTGGACCAATAAAGATAAGCAGCGAAGTCAAAACTAACTACTTTGCCTCTCAAACGAAATCCTGCGACAGTACATCATCTCTGACTGTCGATTGACATGAAGTCTTCTGTCTTCCTCATTCCATCGCAATGGTGCCATGTAATTACAAACAACAACCCCTTCACCTCCCTGTTAACGAGAAGACTTAAAACACGACAGGAGCTACAAACGATAATCTTGGTGAGCTACTCACGATGAGTTTACCGCCCTCGGCGCCGGTGAAGACCTTGCCGTTGTGGAAGATCATGCTGATGACGTCACCTCCTTGCTTCGTCTCCTCCGTGGTGGAGGCCACGATGTTCAGACTCATGGTGGCTGAAAAAGAAATAGCGGGAGGACGTGTTGATCTTCTTACGTATAGCTCGTTTCATGAAGGATGTGCAGAGTAGATGTTGGATCGCATTTCGCCACAAAGTCCTTCCTGTTCAAGCTCTATTTTCCTATCATGACACTGATTCAACGGAAGGGAGTATATGTACAGGGTGTCCCATAAGTTCGTTCTCACATTATATTTGCATGTGACACAGAGTACATTGCGTTTTGATATATCTATCACCCCTCATTGTGCTCCTCAGTTCATAGGCAAACAAATGAATACATGCTGCGGCATGCCAACCGGCAGGTTTGGCAGCATAGCAGGCTTGAAGTTAGCCCAGACTGACTTGACGTGCGCCGTGAGCTTCTCGAGGCTGGAACAGCGCTTCGCTTCGACGAGCCTCAATTTCAGTATAACCAGCAAATTTTTATGAAATTTTGATCCGATGAGTTGCCTGGCATGTGATCTTGCCACAAACGCCTGTCACAGTCTCATTGCACCGCTTTTAAGCTTTGCTTGACCTGTGCACTGATGCACTGTCTTGCCTGAAGCTGGGCCTACGACCTCCCGGATGCCATTTTCTCCTCTATAAATGTGTTCATACTCGCGGTTCGAGTTCAGCTTGAAGGCTGAAACTCCTTCTAGATGTTCTTGGAAAATCATTCTGCTTACCAAAACTGTTTCTGGAATACCAATCGAAACCTGGTCAGCGTATGGACGCCTATAACCTCACAATACCGTGACCCTTGCCTTTTGCATAGGACCATAACGGGACGAAACGGAGGCCTCCTCCTTCGCCCTTATGGGGTTGTTTTCGGGTTTGGACGAGTGTTTCATCTCGAACGTGGATAAGTTAGTCCAGATGACCTGATTGATGTCCTCAGCCCTCTAGTTTTTTAGCCTCAGGCATAACGAAACTCATGTTTGGCCATTTTAAGACGTTTTTGACTGTTTTGAGCCCTCCGGTAAGCAAAGCTTAAGTAACCTTGAGTTATGTACCCCGAAAGAACATTCTTCGACAGCTGGTAACCCATCCTGAAAAGTCTGCTTACCAACTTTCTAGCCCTTTGACCTTTTTGATGGCCACTTTGGCGCCACACAGTTTTGGTCACATGGCTCACTCCTGAGGGCTGACTGGAAAGAGAATAAACTTGCAGTGATTGACTCCCGACAAATCATCGGCGTCACTTGCTGACTGTGCGTCCAGTTAGCGATGGACATTGGCTACAGACTGGTAGGCCTCAAGCACCCTCAATCGTCGCGAATGGTCACGTGCTGACTAAATACCGAGACGTAACCGTATCAGAGACCTCTATGTTGCGGCGTTAGCCGTCTCTGTAGGAAGCGGGCTCTCTAGCAAAAACTATTTTGTCTACAGAAATTAGTTACTGTGGAGCATATTGCTACCAGCCATGGCAACCACATAAGCTCAGTTACGATCCAAATTGCAGCGTGCCTTTAAGCAAGAGAGCCCATAAACGTAAAATTTAGGTGAGAACGAACTTATGGGACACCCTGTAGTCGACTACAGAATGATGTTCCACTCCTCAGCAGCTATCAGTTGACCGGAGCGCTAATTTGTGCCGTTTATCACGCAATTAAGCGTGTCGATTGTGAACATTGGGACAAAGCTATAATTGTCCCAATGTCTAACGTAGCATCGTACGCGGGGCCCAAGCGACAGCTGAAACCACGCTTTGCTGACAATGACGCTGCCGTCCCCCGTCTCGCTTCATCCGATGTTGAACGCGCTATGTGCGAGCTTAAACGTAAGGTCATTGGCCTGTATAAAGACCAGCGTGCCTCCAAAAGTAACGTAACCCCAGAAGAAGACAAAGCCATCGCCCAACTTTCTCGAGATAACACCGTGATTGTCAAGCCGTCAGACAAATGTAAAGGTCTCGTGGTCATGAAAAGGGATGCCTATGTCAGTAAGGCGCTTCACATTCTCGATGACTATGAGCAGGTTCCGACGAACCCTACCCCTAAAGTAGAAGCCGAGACCAAAAGGGTCATTAAAACGGTCATGGCAGACAAAGTGGAGAAAACACTCGTCCAATCTCTACTTCCACAGGGCTCAAGGACGGCAGAATTTTACGGCCTCCCAAAAAACCACAAGAGCGGGGTGCCCCTCCGCCCCATTGTGTCCGCATGTGGGGGTCCTCTCGATAAGGTAACGTGGTTTTTGGAACAGATTCTCTCCCAGCTGGTCACGTATGTCCCAGCCCACCTTCCAGACACTGACAGCTATCTCCAACGCTTAAATGAGCGCTACGCAAACGGATTTCCTCCGGGCACGATAGTCTTTAGCCTGGATGTTACTAACCTCTACGGCAATATTCCCATTGATGAGGCCGTACAGACGGTCACGAACCTACTGCAGGAACATGGACATGTCATCAACATGTTTGGACTCGATTTGGCTGACGTTGAACGCCTACTACATCATTGTTTAAGCAATAGTTTCCTGAGATTTGGTCAGGCATATTACAAACAAAACATGGGACTGCCTATGGGTAGTCGCATAGCCCCGTCAGTAGCGATTATCTTCATGGGAGCCCTAGAGGAAATATTTCTGTCATCGGATCGTGTCCAGCCGGACATGTACATGCGTTATATCGATGACTGTCTGTGCGTGTGGTCGCACGGAGAAGACTCCCTAACGTCCTATTTTGAGTATCTGAACACAGTCCACCCCACTATCAAATTTACCATCGAACGGACAGATACAGCTGAACAATGCGGACAGATTCCATTTTTGGACACTATCATCAGCGTGCGCCCGGATGGCCAGTATACCACCCAACTTTACCTAAAGCCGATAGCAGCCTCCATCATCCTCCCGTACGATTCCGCCCAGCCGTTTAAGATGAAAAAAGCAGTAGTGAAGTCACAGTTTCTACGTGCACTCAAAGTCTCTTCAGATCAGACCAGCGCCAAACACAGCATGGATATGATTCGTGCACTGTTCCTCTCTAACGGCTACCCACCCCACTGGCTTGACGGGGTGGCTCGACAAGCTATACGTCAGCACAAACACCCTAAAAAGACAACAAAACGACCACAGAAGAAAGACAGGATATACGTTACCCTTCCTTTCATAGACGACACCCTGACTAGGAGAGTAGATGCTGCCCTAAAATCAGTCAATCCGAGTCTCACGGCGTCTTGGAAGAACGAGAACACCATCCAAAGACGACTTGTTCACTCGGCGTTAGACCCACCTCCATGCCGCGCTGGAAAGCGTTCATGCCGCACGTGCACCAATGGTCTGACGGGTCGGTGCACCACTAAGAACGTGGTGTACACAATCACGTGCACCATATGTGCTGACTTGGGAGGACCACCGCAAGTCTATATCGGTGAAACCAAACGGTGTATCAGATATAGATTCGATGAGCATTTCCGTGACGGCGCGAATCGCACTCGGCAGACCCCATTCGGTGATCATATGGAACAGTGTCACCCCAATGTGTCAGAGCCACGGCTGTCTGTCTCCATCATACGCCGGTGCAAAGATGCAGCAGACAGAAAGATAGCAGAGGCTCTGGCCATTCGGGACAGGCGTCCCAGTCTGAACAATCAGTTAGATACATGGCCTCTACTAGGGTAGCCCTCTGGTGTCTGACCGACATGGTGTGTGGTATAGGTCTCTGGCCTCTGCAGTCTGCACATCGTCTCCTATTGCTGTTGTGTGTTTGTTCTTCGCTCTACCGTACTGTTACATGTATTTGTTATCATATGTATAAAATGTAGTCAACGTATGTTATAGGTTCTTCCAATGTTCTTATATAGGACAAGAGTTGACTATCGGCTGGCGTTTGTTCCCGTGGTAAAGTCGCACGTGTCTCTTTCTTTCTTGCATTTTGTTAAACCTAAAGTTGTATGTGTGTACTCTGATGATGCCGCAAGGCGAAATATCAGTATTATTTTAATATATCCAATTTTGTGCATTATTTGAACATTAATATGAGCAAAGGCTACTACTTCTCGTATTACATAGTATATATAACGATGCTCATCACAGCCATCCATTTCAAAGCTATAATTTGTTAACTCAGCCCGTGTGATGTGGCACAGCCTACCACTCCAGGCAAATAATTGCCTGTGAAAAGTGGAACATCATTCTGTAGTCGACTACCTAGTCCTGGAAAAAATGTGTTCGATAATTGCACACTGAAGTTCAAATATTTATCTATGTGGTTACACTGCCTTTCACTGCTATCGTTCAGGCTAGTAATCGTTGACGCCTTATAGAGCCTATGAGGCTATCCTTACCTGCTGATATGTTGTCCTGTCTTCCTCCTCAAGTCAACTCAACTCCCCTGTCTTGCGTGTATTGACTGCTTCCCTCGACGTCTGAGTAGCGAATGTCGAGGCCCGTCGATGGTCCTCCCAGGTCACATAGTGGGGGAGAGGGGAGGGCGAGGTATGCCCAAACTGTCACACAGGATAGAGTAGCGAACGGGAGGAACGGGAGAGAACGAGAGAGAGCGGGGGAGGAGTGAACGTTCGGGGAGCGTACGGAGGGGAGGGGGGTATTTTTAGGTGACGAGTGTGGCCAGTTGTGTCCAGAATGTTCCGGATGTCATGCAGCATATTTTGGGGAAATAACCTAATTTGGTCACACTTTCTGGATTGACGTTTAAGTCCTTTCGTTTTGCAGTTCATTCGTTATAAATACTTTGCCTCCTATGATGTTTTTTTTTTTTGCCTATGCCTTTTTGATGCATACTCGATCTAGCCTCCGAAACGCAATGCGTAAGAAGTAGCTACATATTTTTTTCCTAAAAGGTTCGTGAATACCTAAAGCTGTTTGTGTCGAAGAACGAGTTGCACCTCGTTCCACAATCCACAATCCACAATCCACAATCCACAATCCACATGCCTATAGGTACCATTGCCAATTAGAAGGTGGTGCCAATTTTGACACGGTATCGTATCGTATCGTATATAGGTACCTATTCGTAAAAAGTTGCACATTGTGGCTCTTCCATCTCAGAGTCAGTAGGTAACCTACTGTATAATTAAACACAGTGGGCATGTTCATAAAACGCAAAGATCCGAGACATGCAGTTCCGAGATGGGCAATGCTTTAATGAAATATAATGAAAGTAATAATAATGTCGAGGGGGTGCTTTTCGCCCCCCCCCCCGAGACCACACCCCATACCCCCTCGGCCGCCCAACAGACCATTTTCTGGTCACACATGGTAGCGTGGCCGAGCGGTCTAAGGCGCTGGTTTAAGGCACCAGTCTCTTCGGAGGCGTGGGTTCGAATCCCACCGCTGCCAAACGTTTTCCGAAAACGCAACAGCATGCTGAAGTGGCGAGGCTCACGTTGATCCATTTTTAATAATATTGGCACTGACGGCGAGTAGGTACCTTTTTTTTAGTCGAAATCGTCGGATCTAAGGGAATTGCTATGTGTCCTCATTCGGAGCCTTTGAGCAGGGATGGATATTTAGACACCATATATGTAACCCTCCCTGAATCTATCAAGCAGGCAATGAAAGTCACAAGTCCGCATTAATTATCAATCATGTAGCATTTTCCGGTCTATATGCCTAATAAGTCTCACGCTTTCCCTAGATGTATTTCGGGTCGGAATCCCCGTTTGGAAGACCCCTACTCACGCTGTCACGAGATGCTGCACTGTGGCGCTGGGTACCTCCTGACGAAAGTTTTACTGGAGCTCAATCCCATTTTCAGTAAATTGTAGTCCCGTAATCGTGTAACAAATGTTTGTCACCAGAAATGACCTTTTCACTTTACTGAAGGACAACGTATCAAAAGCGAGAACAATAGTTTTGCTTCATGCTTTGTTTATTGAAGCGTTAGGGGACAAGAATCTTGCGTGTTTCCGCTTTAACTAAGTTGTTCTTAATAGGTATTCAGATGTTTTCTTTTTGAAAGAGCACTTATCTTATATCTACTCTCACTATCGGACTATCGGTACATTAAAATAATGCAAAATATTGTTTTAACTTTATGATAATTTCTTTCCGTATTGAGATCATTATATTATTTCATCTGTATACCATTTACCATAGAATGTGAAGTGAAGTACCTAAGCAATGTTGATTGGCCTTCATTCCTTGTCTAGAATCTGTTTTACAACGCACCTGCCAGCCTAGGGGGTTTACTCACTAAATTAAATTTTAAAAATTAGAATTGCCTTTTTCAGGATTCGTAAATGTCCGTTAAGTTGTAAGTATATCACAGTTTTTGTAATTGTATATTAGCTGTTTTTACGACGGCTATCTAGTGCACATTTGGTGCACATTTTGTGCAGATTAGGTGCCGATTCGGTCAAATTGGGTTCAGTGTATCTCTTAGTAGCCATCAGCTAGGGTTGCACTATTTGCTTATATGCCTGCTTTGGCATATGATCGGAGAGTATCATCGATTAAAACACTGAAATAGATTCATAAAATGAAGATATTTGCTGTAAAAGATATTAGGTGTAGATTTGGTCAAATAATGCGCATTCACCGGATAGCCCGTCGTGAAAACGGCTAGTTACTATCGTTTTCGCGTCCTCCTACCCTAGTACCCTACCCTGCGACCTATTTTCCGTCGATCTCTAAGCCCATAGCTACGGAAGAATTCTTAGGTCGATTACCAGTCCCTTTTTCTTACTTGTCAAATGTCAGGTATTATTATCATTTAGGTATCCTATCCTATCTGTCTGGGATAGTTAGGTACCCTACAAGAGGAGTTTGTCGTAAGCAGCTACGATTATCCATAATGGTAATGTAACTAATGCGTTATTGTCATGCTTTTTTGTTTGTTGATTCGTTTCCGTGAATTGCAAATTATTGGCATCTGGCGTATTGTTGGAAACTTGTTCTCAAAGCTGATCAAATGCGCTGCTTACGTTGAGTTTATGTTTTTAAAAGAATCTCAATATCTTTGTTTTTCTATTCGCGAAAGTCTTCATTTAGCTGACCTCTTGCTGAATTTCATATTTTTAAGCACGGACTTTGTACTTGAGCTGACAGAATAAGCGAAGAGAGTCCCTGTCAGAACCGTGGCGAAGCGACGAGAGACACTCGAAGACCTATCATCAGTCATTCTCCAAGACGTAAGCAGAGCCAATGACGGAAACGCTTTCGGGTTTTGCGAGTCTTATTTGATGCGCAAAAAGCTCCGCAAAACACTGAAGGCATGACCAGAGTCAAAAACGGCAGTTCCTAGGCGCCATGACATTTGGTTGGTTGACTATTTCTTCTGTTGATCCACCAAAATGGCTGATGAAAGCAGACGGTGTTTTTGCATCAGAATCCAGATCATGCAGCCTAGCAGTGACGTTTAATTTGGGGAGAATGTAAAAAAAAAAACGTTTGACGGTATATTCCTATCAAATTTGTTTTTGTCTTAACAATTATCCAGTTGATGTATAAAAGGATAGGTATTTTCATTCTTGATGTTCAAGGCTGGTTTGATTATACTTCTTTTACTGTTGTACATCATAAAACTGACCAATCTCGATATCCGATCCCTTTGATATATGCAAACATATTTGTGGTATCGATGTATTCGACACTTTATTTCTGATTGACCTTTCAACGATAGCCTGAGGAGCGATTTTGCTGCAGAACGAATTATCACATCACATGATCTGCTCAAAAAACTCATCAGACACAAAGATTCTCACCGGTAGGTATAGCTCGGCATAGCAGGTCCACTACATCTAGAGCTATTTCCTAACTCATCTAGCCAGAAATGGGGTATCAAACACGATACATGGCATCAACCTTGTATCTTCACTCTATGCACTGACACAACTGGAGTTCTAGCTAAGAATCAATGCAGAAACATGCGGTTATCTGGTACGAACATAGTGGGGTATTCTTCGTCGATTGTTCCCGAAGAAATCATATGCACGTGAAAATTTTCAATTTTTCGGCGCTATCAGCAGCCTGGTGCCCTGATTGGCAGTGATGCACAGTCGCATATTTCAGACAAATTCACCAAACACAAAATGACACCGCGATTTAAAATCGCCGCCCGAGGCACTTTTTGCCACTCCATCGCATCGCACTGCCATCTATCGGCCAAAATTGGCGACCGTCCTTCCGGCATCTGCCGCCGCGCGGCGACCGCGCGGGGTCACGGAATTCTCTCGTGGTGCGCGGACGGAGGGCTGTGATGATGTCATCAGAGGACTTATGACGTCATAGTGCTCACTGCCGGACCATCTTGATGATGCTGCCGTCGTTGAGGCCGGCATACACCTCGCCGTTGTCGCCCACGCCGCGCGAGAACACCGGGTTACCGACCTGAGCGAGGAGAGAAAGACGTCAAGCCAGGCACGGGCACTTGAATGTGTATTATAGGAAATAGCATTCGTCCTGTCCAGCAGCCATGAAGGAAAATGGGCAATGGCACATAATTTACGGCATTTGTATGTGAAATTCGTTTTAATTTTAAAACAAAACAATAAGTTCAGCTATTGTGCAAAACACTTTTACTCTCCTGATCCCCAGATTAGTTTTTGACTGGACATTTAACAAGTGGCGTTCTAAGCCATCCAGTCTCTCTCTCTCTCTCTCTCTCTCTCGCTCTCTCTCTCTCTCTCTC